TGCATGTATGGCAGTGCGAGGGGGGTGTGGGTGCATGTGTATGGTGTGGTGTGCGTGTGGGACTCACCCTATGAACATGTGCACACAGACACTCTGCCTCTGCCTGCACGCGCAAACACATACATGTTCGTACTGGCGTGGCCCTGTGCTCCCTGGTCCAGCAATACAGCCAGGGCCACATGGTGCCAAAGCATGGCGGGGGCAGAAAGAGAGTGAAATGGCTGGGGGGTGAGCGGGGCTGGGCTGCTCAGTTCTGCTGCTGGTTCCCCTGGTTCCTACTGCCCCTGGCTCGTGTCAGCTTTGGCATGCAGCCAGGAGCAAATAGTAAATTAATATTTAATTTTTAGGGGGCCCACAGGCTGGATAGAATGGCCTGGCTCACCCCTGGGCTAGATGAATATAGGCAGGAAAAAGTACAGCATTTTCAAGTAGCAATCCATGTACCAAAATTTTGAGGGAAAGTGCAAGAGCCATTTCCTTGCAAGTACTACCTGTGACACTCTGCTGAACTGACCAACAGCACAGGAGAAGGGGCTTAAGAAATTGAAAACAAAGGATTTGTGCTGGATTTAAACCTAAACTGTCAAAGATTGGTGGATACAGGGGTAAAAGAAGAAGATTGAGGCCCAAACTCTAAGAGATTAGGACTCTGGCCATGCTTTCAAAGTAAGAGAAATGCTTATGTTGCTTCTAAACCCCTTCCTTTCTTATGATTATGCTTTCACTCCTACCGGCAAGATTGTAAGGCTGTTTTGGGTTACTGCAAACCTTCAGCTTGGGGTGTGTGGTCCCTGCAGAGGGTACTGCATCCTGCACTGGGTCTGAGAGTTGAAGAATCTTGGAGCTTGTTCCCAAGAGAAGTGAAAAGCATGAGGCCTGAGAGTACAAAAAGATGTCCCCGGTGACAGTAACTAATTGCTTCTGAAAATTACAGCTCAGGGGATGAGTGCATCACAGGGACAGGCAAAGTCTGGTCTGCAGACCAGATCCGGTCAGTTGTGGACTCCATTTCCCAGCTGCCCCCGTGCATGGCTTGGGCCAGTCTCCATGGAGACCCAGCTGCAGCTGCACAGGAAAGCTCATGGCTGGGGTTGCCATGGAGACCAGCCACAGCCATGCTGACAGGGCATGGCAGGGGGCTGCTCCAGAGCCACTATCTGTAGCCTACATGCTCTGGGCAGGGATGCGCAGGCAGGAGATCACGGTTCTGCCCCTGCACCAGACCAGGCTGTCACCGCTGCAGAGCTGCAATTCCCTGCCTGCGCACCCCTGCCCAGAGCATGCAGGCTACAGATCACAGCTCTGCCCTGGCTCTGGAGCAAGCTGCCCCTACTGCAAAATCCCAGCGGCTCTGGAGTAGCACCCTGCCCTTCTCTACCGCCTGTACTGCCAGCGTAGCTGCTTTTTGGTCTCGGTGGAGACTGGCCCCAGCCATATGGGCAGGGACTGCTGGGAAATGGAGTCCAGGTGTTGGACGGATTGGCCAGTTTGCTAACCCCTGGTGTATTGCCTATTTTTCTTTGAGATTAGACCACACGGGTGCAGTTCCTTTTGGAGAAGACAGATCCAGCAGAAAGAACCTGGGGGTTTAGTAGAACTTTGCTAGATTTCTAACTAGATGAGAAGAAGCAAAATATTCACTGTTCCTCCTTCCCAATCTATTTTCAGATTTTCCAGTTCAATAACAAGCCAGGGTGAGATTTCTGTCCAAATCCTTTAGTTTACGTTAAGAATGAAGGTGGTGCTCTCTCTCCCTACTGACTGAGGTGACCCATATTCTTGCTCTTTTCTGTAAAGCCAGTCACTTTAAATGTGACATCTGCTGCCTATGTTTGCCTGGTTCTTATTGTTCTCATAGTTATTCATTTCCTACCTCTCCTGTTTCTCTTCCAAATCACAGCAATCTCCACCAATCTCCTTCATCTTACTGAGATAGGAGGCATGTAGAAGAAGTGCCCTGAGGAAATCCTTGGGAGATTTCCCTTTTAAATTTGGGTATTCCTTCCTATCTTTTAACAGCTCTGTCTCATGTTTCTGTCAGGAAAAAGGCATTCATAAAAACTATATATGGTCTGCTTATGCTGGGACCAGTTTACAGACCAACAGGGAACCAGTACAATTAGTGGTGCACTGAAGTTACGCCATCATGGTAGCCTTTGCTATTTTCAGATGCAGCTGGCTGCATGCCCTACAAACTGCATCTGCATCCATGGTGAGATTACTCCAGCAGAGTAATTTGAAGGTGATCAAGACTTGGTTGACAGTAGTAAGGTCCAGATTTACAGAGATCAAAGGGCAGACACCTCATCATGTTGAAAGTGCAGAATGTAGCTCTCATCTTTGTTACTGTCGGCAGTCCTGAAACTCTACTCATTTACCTGATTGTATGCCATTACTTTTAAGGGAGTTATTCCTGTTTTACCGTAGCCTGACTGATTAGGGTGAGATGTTGTGCATCTATTAGTCATGAAGACTACTCTGACTCTGAACTAATTTAACCATCAGCTGAGAGAATACAGATGATGTTTTGTCTTTGCAAGGCTCCTTCCTGTGTTTTGCTCCTCCTGTTATCATTATTTTGGCTTAAATCTGAGCCAGTTACTCTTCATCTATCTGAGATCTTCTTTCTCTTCCTTCCTTCCTTCCTCTTTTCCTATAAACA